ATACCGAGCTGATCAACCACCCGGATACCGCATTTTGGTATGCGGTGCGTGATATGATTCCACCTGGAAAACGATGGAGAAGAAAGAAGCCATTCCGGCCAGACTAGCTAGCCGGCCAGCCGTCAGTGGTTGACGTCAATGTTCGATTGGCTGGTGTTCGCACCATTCGGCTAGCCTTCAATAGATGGGTAAGCCACAGTGAGGCGGCTAGCTGACCCAGCTAGCCAGCCCTGAGAGGCTGAGGAGCCACTAAAAAATGTCATCATAAGGATTCAAACCGCGGATTTGGTATGCATACATTCAGTATCTTAACCATTCGGCCACGATGAAAGATTCGTTCATCACGGAGTAAAATGGCTCTATTCGGAACCCGGACATTATCTAGTTCGCGGGTAATCCAAAACAGCCGAAATATTAATCATCCTATTAACTAACGATAGCGCAACGGAAAAACGGCCATTCCAATAAAAGCCAAAGCCCATAAGCTCTAAAACGGTAGACATCCTTCGCATTATTAGTTTTTGAAATGACTGCAAAAGTTCGGCCAAAAACCAGTCTCATGGTCTTGATAAGTAAAAACCGTCCGGCTATAAAGTTTCCGAGAGATCCGACAAAGCCATTACTGTCAGTACCTCAATGTTAAATGGTGTGATATGCGGAAGACAATGTAACAGGCCGTGACGCGCGTAACGTCGGGAGCAATTCGATATTCACGTTCGGCAAAGCTGGACGACCTGTTTGATTTTCACGGAACTGGTACGGGGCATCACTATGACCTCTAGATGTCAACGCATCCCACATCTATATTTGTTGTGTGCTGAGCATATAATGCGTGATCATTAGTAAGCAGGGCAATCTAACGTGCTGAAATTGATATAAACCATTTTTGGTTGAATGTCAATTTGATTAAAATTTAAGGGTCAAAAAAGTAAAAAGGACGGAACTGGAGTTCAGATCATGTCAGGTTACGTGACAACCTTATGCAAGCAAGCTCAAGTGACGCATTTCCAGAAATCAAATGTTGTACCGAGTCGAATGGTACAGATTGCTCGATCAAAGGAAATCTGCTGCAGAGGATAAATTCAAAAATGTTTTTGAATAAACAGTTTCAGGCCCATTGCCTTATCCGTCGTTAAGTTAAACGCATAACCCTTCGATCAGAAAAATTCCGACTGCTCTGATCTTTAAAAACGATGCAAGCATGGAGAATGTTGGATCAGAAAGTCTCTCTCAGCTTTTCACGGGGCATAATAAAATGTGACCTGTGGACGTCACAGCGTGCCAGGTCGATATTTGTTGTGTACATACGTCACGCGTGACAGTTGATGAACAAAGCAGCCTGACTGGTGTGATTTTTGGGCACTTCTTATTTGCTTGGAGAGTCCTTCGTTCTTTTCGGGGGGGGGGGACATCTTTAACCCACTCGGGCACACTTAAACACTCGAGCCCCCTCCCCCTCCCACACTGGGTCCTGGGCACTTCCCTTTTCAACGGAGGGTCCTATGCTCTTGTCGGGGCCCCAGCTGTGAACATCTACAGGCACAGTCGATCGTTCTGGGCGCTCCACAGCGGGCCTGGTGTACTTCTTATTTGACAGAAGGATCCTTCGCTCTTGTTTAGGAAGGCCCATCTGTTAACCCGCTTGGGCACACTCGATTGTTCGAGGGCCCCCCAAGCATTGGTACTTGGGTACTTTCTATATGCTTAGAGGGCCCTACGTTCTCGTAGGAGGCCTCACCTGTTGAACACTTGATCGTTCGGGCGACCTCTGAGGGCTCTAGAATATTCCCAAAGAACACTCTCTTAACCTTTAAATGATTATTTGTGTGGTTGTGGGCCCTCCGCTTTCGCTTGCTGTTCTTGGTCGCATGGAGACCCCGTGAGGCACCAGCTTTCCGCGGTAGGGATTATGTGCTCCAATGATCCTGCGGGCGGTTGGGGGGGGGGGGGGGATTGTAAAGCGCCTATCCGGCCAATGGAGAGGAGCCAGACTAAACGTGCCTCCCGCAAGGACCCTCACTTCGATCAGGTCAGGGATTAGCAGCCCATCGAACCCAGCTTTCAGTTTGATCAGTGTTGCCGTGCCCCGTCGTGCACCACCGGAGCGACGAAGGGGCCCTGGGTGGTGCTGAGGTGGCCGCCTTGCGGGTCAGCCTTGGCGACCACCAACACTCACCTTTGGCCTGAATTTGCCCACCTGTGGGTGCCCTGTGTGGACTTCGCGCGGGTAACCGGCCTGTCAGGCGCCGTCCTCGTGTGGCACTGGCTAGGAGCCAAGCGGGCCGGGCGACGGGTGTCGAGGGGGAGCCGCCCGGCGCAGTGCCTGCCTGATACTTATGCCTGATACTGATACAGGGCACGGCTGTGTGGCCGTGCCCTGTCCCGCAGCGAGTGGTCAGCAGTCCGTGGTCAGTGGTGCTTGGTCAGCCCTTCGTGGGCCGGGGCATTGGCCGCCGCGGACTCATAGCTGGCGGCTCCACATCGGCACTTCTGTCGCTCCGGCTCGCGTATGACGCGCAGGTAGTCCCTGGCGGCACAAAAGCTGCCCAGTGTGCCGTCCCCTTATTGAGCCCCGACTTGGTGGGTGGAAAGCCCGCGTCCTGAAACTAGACACAAACCTATGGAACACCACAACACAAACTCGGCCAAAACCGGACGCCCCTCACAGGGGTCCGTATCCGGTCCCTCCAGCAGGGACAAGACCCTTGACCGTACTTGATTTAACAGCACCTCACTTTATGATCGTAAAAAAGCGAGCAGGAGGGCTAGAGGCTATCAGACTTGGACCCGTTCCGTCGCCTCCATAGACTTTTCTCGATGGCCGGTGAGCCAAGAAGTGCCATCCGGCAGCGAGATGGATCCTTGCTCGTAGAGTGACAAGGAAAGCGACATCGAAAAAGCCATGTTAAGTTAACTCTTCCGTCACCACGCACAAGGAAAAGAAGTCGAGGTACCCATCTCCGTGACCATCCACCACACTCTGAACCAGGGGAAGGGGGTCATGTACTGCCGAGCACTAGAGGGGGTGACCAACGAGAAGGTGACAAAGGGACTAGCTGACCAGGGTGTCGTGCGAGCAGAGCGGATCGCACTAAGACGTACCGGAACCGAGAGGCAGACGAATAGCTTCGTCCTTACCTTTGATACGCCCAGCATACCCGAGACGGTGAAGGTGGGAGACATCAGAAACTGTGTTCCAATTCGTTCGCACATGCCTGAGCCATTTCGATGCTTTTCGTGCCAAAAGTTCGGACACGCCAGCGACCGATGTCGAGGACGCGCCGTCTGCGGGTGTTGTTCATCTTTGGACCACACCACGAAGGACTGCAAGGTGGAAGAACGTCAGTGCCCGAACTGTTCGGATAAACACGAGGCGGCTTCTTGCTCCTGTCCAGAATGACCTAAAAAATAAATAGCTACAATAAAAGTGACACGTGACCTGTCTTTCCGGAGGCCCGCGCGATGTATAAACGAACGCACCCAAACAAAACTTACGCCATGGCAACCAAAGTCATTGGTTCTCACACACCTTGTGCATGTAGTAAGGTCGACGTCCTGAATAAAACGACAGTGGTTGAGTTTATGGGTTTTGCGGAAAGGCTTGGTCTGTCTTTCATCCAGAAA